TCTTAATATATTAACTGACAGAGAACATGGGTTCATCTCATACATCGAAACAGTTTAAGAATTGATTATATTTTAATTCTCTAGCAATTTATCCTTGATGTAAACATTGTATTTTTTAGAGAATGCTTTCAGTGTTATATTTAATTATGCACAAACATTGTTCATTATGTTCAAGAGGCTAGGTATTAAGTTTATATCCAGAAAATATCTCTGAGTCTGACATGATGACCTAGCAGTTAAAATTATCACCTTAAATGTGCCAGGATCCCATAGAGGTGTGGATTCTAATCCCAGAAGCCCTGCTTCCCATCCAGCTCCCTGCTTGCGGCCTGGGAAACAGTGGAGGACAGGAAAAGCCTTGGGTCCTTGCACCTGCGTGGGATACCCAGCAGGAGAATCCTGGCTACTGTCTTCAGATTGGCTCAGCTCTGGCCATTGCAGTCACTTGGGGAGTGAATCATCAGACAGATCTTCCTCTCTGTCTCTCCTCCTCTCTGTATATCTGACCTTCCAATACAAATGAATACATCTATTCTTTTTTATGAATAAATCTATTATTTTAAAAAGAAAATATCCTGCTTAAAATTTAAACTCTGTAAAAATCTTTAGTGGAATATCTGTTGTGTTTGGAGGTCTCTGTTACAGCAAGTTACTGAACATATTTTTAAGTAATAGTTTTTTTTTTCTTTATTGTTTTTACCTTATCTCCTACCCCAGTGAATGCATGACGGGTGGGGAAAAGCAAAGATAAGAGATGAGGAAGGAGAGTGCAGTGAGGGACAGACCAAGAAAGCAGTGGATGAGAGCAGAAGAATGGCAAGGTAACTTTATAGTATAGAGGTGGGTATTGGGAGCGCAGGGCTGCAGGCTTGGCAGATACAGATGTAAGTGGACAAAAGGGATAAGTACCACAGCGCATTGGTGAATAGAGCTGACAGGCACCACGTCATAAAGTACAGGGGATTGGCAGAGAATACAGTTTAAGACTAAAAGGCATGAAGCTTACATTTGTGAGGCCCTAAGGTGTTCCAGACCTAGGAGATGCAGATATTTAAGGTGGCACATCTGTGTTTGTGGCCACTGTTCTAGTTAGTCCTTACAATAAAGTATTGAACAGATAGAAATTTTCCAAAGATATAGAATAACAATATTGCTTATTGAACAGAGTGAATAATGAGCAGCTGGCTTATGCTGTAGGCACAAGGACAATTGACTTTAATGATGTGGTTTAAATGACAGATTTTTAAAGTAGGTTAATGCAAGGATGAATATGGGCCCCAGTCATGTGAGGTGTTCTGTGGGGAGCCATGCAGTTGGGTTGGATGGCATGTGTGTGTGATGAGCACCACTCCTCAGTTAGCAAGGCTGCAAGGAGTTTCTGGCTGCAAGGCAAGGCCCAGCAGAATGTCTCTGATCACCTCATTGCTGCCTCACCCTCAGCCTATTGTATGGACACTTAATCACCTCTCTGATGTTTCACAGAATTCCCTGAGGGTGTTGTTGTTTTTCTGCTAATGTGAAGTGATTCCTGTAACTGGTATGACACCTCAAATTGATCTATCATGTTATGATAAAATCACCTGTAGTAACGTAAGGCTATGACACACAGTTAAAAGTATACAATAGTACAATTGAGCTCACTATGTGTCCAAACATCCTGTTATGTGCCCACTTTTGTCCTGAAATTTGCCCTAGTATAAGTAATGTTTTCCTTAAGAAATGGCTTGATAATATCCTGGAATAGATGGCAATCATGGAGGCACAAAGAGTTTGTTTACCATACACCTCGAACTGTTACAACACATGATATGACACATTTTAGTTTCTTACCACAAGAAAGCAAAAATATATGGGGCATCTTCTAAAAGGAAACAAAACAAAACCCCCTCAAATTGGCTTAAAATCTCAATCTTATACTGGCACATATATTTAGGGAAAGAAAACAGTTTATAAAAATTTCTATCTTATATTGGCTTTTATATTTAGGGAAAGAAAATAGTTTATATAGATGAAAGGAAGTTTCTTGTAGAGGCCCTCTGTTTGTAGATTAGCTGAATTGCCTTGATCCCTTTCACTGCCCTTTAACAAAAGAATAAAAAACAATTGAATCAGCACTAAGTGAAGGTGACCGTAATTAATGCATGATTTGATTATAAGATTTAGCAAAGAATCTATGTTATATGCTTTTATAAAATCCTTTCATTCATGATCTTTTAATTCTGTATTCTTAATATTTTAATCAATATTAGTTTGTGTTTAGTAAAAGTTGATTTTGAGTATAAGTAAACTACTTGTCACTGTGTAACTGCAAGCTCTGACAACCGTGGAGTTCCTGGCTTCAGCCAGGTGATTGCAGGTTTCAATGAGTAAGGGTTTGTTAAGAATGTTTTCTTTGAAATAGAAAAATATTTTTTAGGATTGCTTCTTGCATTTTTATAACCATGATGTAATGAAAAATGAAACAATTGGATGTTGTGCAAAAGCTTGTGATGATTTATGTATAAATAAAGAAGGCAACTTTTCTGAGTTGTCCATTATGAGCATCAAGCCATAGTGGTCCGTGTCTTATCTCTTCCTATCATCTCGCCGATCCATGCATCCTTTGCAAGCTCTCAGTCAGCTGGAGCTGGTCTCTGGCAGTGTTCATACTGTAGATAACTTACAGTGCCATGAGCAAGATCTGAGATACATAAAAGCATGCATAGCCAGGGGCACATAGGGCTGGATACAGGAGGAGACAGGCAAGACTTGTTAGTATAGGTTTCTGAAACACCAGAAAGTAGAGAGCATGCCAGATAAGCTGGCACAGTAGATGGGGTCCTGTTTTCATTTATCGTGAGTTCATTTATAGCCTCAAGTGTTTGAGTATACTAAAAATCAGCTATTGTGACAATCCGAATGAGGCAAGGCCACCCAGTGTCATCCAAAGATCCGTTTCATCTACTTTCTTTTATTCCTCAACTTCTCCATTCTAATAGGTGGTCCTCATGGGCATGCATCCCTCTCAAGTATGTAAATATCATCAAAAATAAGATTTACTTATTTTTATTGGAAATTCAGATATACAGAGACGAGGAAAGTCAGAGAGGAAGATCTAACATCCACTGATGCACTCTCCAACTGGCTGTAGTGGCAGTGTTGACCCTATCTGAAGCCAGGATTCAGGAGCTTCTTCTGATCACCCACCCAGGTGCAGGGTCCCAAGGTCCTGGGCCATCCTTTACTGCTGTCCCAGGCCATAAGCAGGGAGCTGGGTGGGAACCAAGGCTGCCAGGACATGGACTAGCACCCATATCGGATCCTGGCATGTGTAAGATGAGGACTTTAGCCACTAGGCTACTGAAACAGACCCATAAAATGTACTTATTTCTAAGAAAGAATATATGAGTCAGGTTCTAGGATCTAGACCAGGAGACTTGGCATACACTGGACCCCATGCCCCAGGGACTCACATGAGCAACATCCACCATGCAGATGGGCCCCAGGAGCTGAGCCCTGTGATCTGTGCCCCACTGGACCCCCTGCCTTTGAGGCCCAGACCCAGCACCCACTGTACAAGCAGATTCAAGGACCTAGAACACATGACCTGGCCTCCACCTGACCCTGCACTCATTTTGCAAGAAGGCCCAAGGGCCTGGGCTATGCAACCCTGACACCACTGGACCCCTGCCCCTGGATCTCACAGACCTGGCACTCGCTATGCAGGTGGGTACAACATAATCTAGATTTTACCAGACCTCCCCTCCCCAGGACTCATGAACCCAGAAATTCCCTGCATGTGGGCTCAAGGAAGGACTGGGCTAGACTACCTGGACCCCAGTAACCTCCTGTCCCTGAGGGTCAAGAACCCAGCATGCACAGTGCATGCAGGCTTAAGGACCTCAACCAGGTTACTTGAACACCACTGAATCAGGCACCCACTACACAGGTGAACCCAAGGACTCCGACCAGGTGATGCTGGTCCTGCTGAAATCCCATCCCCTAGGGGCTCACAGACCCAGCATCCAACACACAGACTGGCCAAAGGACCCAGGCCAGTTGACCCAGGTCCTGTCAGACCACCGCTCCCAAGCCTCACAGTTACTGTCTTTCTACCCCCAGACTGACGTGGCTTGCCTCACCTTGGCATCAACCAGTGGGTGCTTCAGCATGGGTCAGTCCGGCCTACCCACAGTTGCAGCCCCTGTTGATTGGTGATACATCCCAGTTGGTTGTGGACAGCCCTGGCTCCTCCTGTAAGCTGGTTCTCAAATCTGCCAGTGGAGTTCTAATTGGCCTAGTGCTGTAGCCTAGTGGTTAAGCCCTTAGATATACCTGAATCACATATGGGTACCAATTAATGTCCTCCACTTCCCATGCAGCTCCCTGCTTGTAGGTTGGGAAAGGAGCAGAGAATGGCCCAAAGCCTTGGGAATGTGCACCTGCATTAGAGAACAGAAAGAAGCTTTTGGCCACTGGCTTTAGATCAGCTTAGCTCCAGCCATTGCAGTCACTTGGAGAGTGAATCAGCAGGGATTGAGACCTTTGTCTCTTCTCTGCAAATCCTTTCTCAATACTTTGGATTGTGTGAATACAATAAATTTATAATGTGGTTTTTCTTATTTAGTATGTTATCCATTACTGACAGGCAAAAGTGCTTCAGATTTTAGCATGAATCAGTTTTAAAGTATTTAAAAATTTAATTTTTTTTGGAAAGCCAGATATAAAGAGGAGAGACACAGGATGATTTTCCATCCATTAATTCACTCCCCAAGTAGCCTCACTGGTAGGAGCTGAAACCCATCCAAAGGCATGATACAGGAGTTTCTTCTGATTCTCCCATGCAGGTACAGGGACCTGAGGCTTTAGGCCATCCTCTACTGCTTTCTGAGGCCACAAGCAGGAACTTGGCTGGGACAGGAACTGGCTGGATGGTACACAAACCAGCTGTGGTATGGGATCCCGGCGCATGCAAGGCGAGGACTTTAGCCACTAGACTACCACACCAGTCCCATTTTCAAGTGTTTAAATATATATAAACCATTTTACTACTACTAATAAAATCCTTATTATGAATAAATCAAACTAGAGTACCCAAATACCTGAAAAAACAGTTATAGAAATGTCTTTGTGAAGTTCTATTTAATTGAACTTGAAATTTAATTCCTTATTTTTCACAAGATATATCCACAAATCAAGCTAATATATGTAGTTTTAGATACAGTATGTTTCTTTTTAATCACTTTTAATACATTATTTATTTGAAAGGTATATTTCAGAGAGGAGAGAGATATTCCATCGGATGGTTGCGGGCTATGCAATGCTTAGTCCAGTAACAGGAATCATTTAGGTACTCCAATAACCCATTTAGTAACCCACCCACTGTGTTCCAGGCATAATAGCAGGATGCTGTGTTGAAAGTGTTGAATAGCCAGTAGACTTAAACAAGGCAATTGGGTATCAGATGTGATCTATCCCAAGCAGCAGCCCAACCTCCTGTATCATGACATTCAATCCTCTGACTCTGATGGTTTTCTCCAGATTTTGCTGTAATATAAGTATTTAATGAGGTAAAGTAAAAATACATTTCAAACTATGTTGCTGTCAAATTTATGGATGTCCTATGGGCTAAGGCAAATAAAATGGCAAAGACAAATGTCATTGAAGGTTTAAAAGCTGGGAAATGTCATTGAAGTCTTAGAAGTTTCAGTGGGAGCAGTTACTAGAAAGCTGTATAGAATAAATATGTATTATATCAATTTTCCCTGTATAAGTGCAGATACAATTAATCTAATTGAAAAAATCTGCTTTCAACATTTTTAATATTAGCAATAAATGTTCTAATGAAAGTCCTTATATGGAGTCCTATGCAGCTCATGTACAGAAACAAATACTTAATACCCCCAATTATTTTTGAGTAGCATAAATTTTAGTGACAGTATTTTTTTTTATGGTATGTTGTAATTTGAACAGTAGTTGTTGAGAAAAATAACTAAGTGCTTGGCAGTAATATTTTTGATTTTTAAGTAAGTATAAAATGTTTGCTTTAGCCAGTAGAAATTTTTCACTTTCAAGAGAATCAAGATGGTGGAATAGGGTAAGGACATGTTTAAATGGATGGAAAACATTTAATCAGGATGAAGCAGAGAGGACATATTTCAGGAAATAGGAAAGGACAGAACAACAGCAGCAGAGTACCTGGAGACTGACAGACACATGAAAGCCGCAGGAACAAAGGTGTGGTGTTGCAGTGAATGATACTCCAGTGGCATTCAGCTAATGGCAATCTGAACTCCACCAGCAGCTGGAACTCCACCAGCAACCAGGTAGGAAGGGACTTTCACTGGGAACTTGGGAGATGAACCCAGACAAAGAACTGTTCATTCTGCTGGTCCATTTGATTTGACCAGGAGCAGAGACAGAGGAGCAGATCTCTGATGAGCATTGGGAGAACAGGGTGGATTTCACAGCCCAAAAGCCCCCTAGACCTGAATCGGGCACCATTTTGCCTAAGGAGGCAAAGGAAAGGACTGAGCATATGCTGAGCTGGGAGTGAGCTCATTTCTGACTCAGTGAACTGCATCCACGTGGCATTCTACAGGTTCCACCCAAGACAGGTCTGGGTAGCCCTTGGATCAGATGGCCAACACATCAAGAACTGTAGTGGTGGTACTTCAGTCACCATTTTGCACATTGTGGCAATAGCTTTAGGACTGCAGGGGACAAGAGTGAACTGCACATGTGCTGAGTTCATGAGAACTCACTGAGTTCAGTGGATTGCACTGGTCCTGCAGGAAAGCAATACCAATTGTGCCTGCGTATGGGTCAAATAAGTGCATATGGCATCCAGACCTAACGCCCCACAGGTTCCAACAAGATCAGCACCACCAACAACCTAATTATATAGGACACCTGGTGTCTCTCTAATCCAGGGACCTGCTCCAACTGGAAGTGGGAGAAAGGTTGCAGAAACAATAGTGCAGCCTCAGCATGGTATCACAGGAGGTGGAGAGTGGTGAGCTAGAAGCTGGAGCTTTGGAGACTGGTGGAAATCTGATATAAGAACCCAGACCTGGAACTCTCTGGAGGTTGTGGCACAAGTGGCTGCAAGCAAGAAGTGCTGTACCAACTACAGTAAGTAAAATTGCATTGTAGCCCTGTGGGTGACACAGCTTAGAAACATGCCACAAGGAGAAGACTCTGCTAACCAGAAGCACAATGACCAAGAGTAAAAGAAGAGACAAAAGCGGAATGAATATTACCGAAAACTCCCCTGCAAAGGAGCAAAACCCTTTGCCAACCTCAGAGTTAACTGAGGAAGACATCGAAAAAATGGGGGACACAGAATTCATAAAACTCATTTTAAAGATTGTGATCAACAATGAGAACCTCATGCAAGAGTTCAAAAAACATAAGAAAGTAATAAAGCAAATCAAGGCTAGTATATCAGAAATTGAGAACACAGTAGAGCAAATTAAAAGAACAATGGAGAATCTCCAAAATAGAATGAAGCAAGCAGAAGAAAGAATCTCAGAATTGGAAGATATTTCCTGTCATCAGGGAGGAAGCAAACAAAAATCTGGAAGCAGAGCTGGATCAGGCCAAAAAAGTATTGAATAACTGAAAGACACTATTAAGAGGCCAAATTTAAGAGTTATGGGAGTCCCAGAAGGTGCAGAAAGAGAAGCTGAGTTTGCCAATGTATTTAATGAAATAATCAAGGAAAACTTCCCTAATCTAGAGAAAGAATTGGGAAAAAAGATCCAGGAGGAGCACACACCTCTCAACAGGCTTGAAAAACAAAAGAGATCTTCACCAAGACACATGATCATCAAGCTCTCTTCAGTTGAACACAAGGAAAAGATCCTTAAATGTGCACATGAAAAAATCAATTGACATATAAAGGAATGCCAATTAAGCTCACAGGAGATCTCTCACAGGAAACTCTATAGGCAAGAAGAGAATGGAGTGACAATATTCCAGATTCTAAAAGAAAAAAATTGTCGGTCTAGGATAACATATCCAGCAAAGCTTTCTTTTGTCTTTGAAAATGAAATCAAATTCTTCCACAGTAAAGAAAAGTTAAAAGAATATGCCTCTTTCAAACCTGCCCTATTAATGATACTTCAAGATGTTCTCTTGACAGAGAAGAGGAATAGCACCTACCAAAACCAAAGGCAAACTGGAAGAACATCCCAGTAAAATGACAACAGAAGACTAAACCAATGAACAACCCATTCCTAAAATGAGAGGACCAAAGTACCACCTATGTATATTAAACTCTGAATGTAAATGACTTAAGCTCAGTTTAATGTCATAGATTAGTAGACCGCATTAAAAAGACAAAACCCATCTGATAATAGTCTGTAGGAGACACACTTCAACAAAGATCAGCAGAAACTATATTCCATGGGTTTTGTTGTTTCGTATTGGTTTCATCTCTTCAAAACATTTTCTTCTGATTAAATCATGTAATGGCTTGTAGATCATGCAGTGACATTTTCTTCAAGAAGGTTCTTGATTTTTATTTCAGCTACACATTAGTCTTTCTATTGTTGATTTTGTATCATGACTTTTCATTTAAGGGAATGTACAGTAGTTGTGTAATGGAGACACATATCTAGTAACATGTCCTTTAACTTCATGGCATTGTGAATTTCTATTTTTCTTTCTATTGTTGATGTACATTAGGGGATGTACATTAGCCTTGAAATGGAGACTGACATCCAGATATGAGGATGCAGTGTGGTATGCATTTCTGCTTCCAAAGTTGGACTTACCGTGAAACTGTTTACTATATCTTGAGAATAGGATGCTGGACTCTCTGTCATTTTCCATGCCCGCAATGATGGACATATGACTGAGTATGAAGAACTATATGTTAATAATGATATAGAGGTATTAGGTGGGGGGAGGGAATTTTGGAGGTGATGAGCAAATTTGGAACTGTATCATAAAAGATAATAAAGTGCAAAAAAATGTTTGCTTTAAGCTAATAACAACTTGAATTTAATCACTGTCAATTATTGAATTTGTTTATGCTGTTTCTAGGATGGCTTCATGGCACTTGTCATCTGTAATGCACTATTCTTGCCCAGGAAATTGGATAGCCTTTATTTCTCTGGCCGTTGTGTCTGGTTCCTGCCTTGACATTACTTACACAATAGGAAATAATAAGGAAACTTGGGAAAGCAAAACCAATTTGTAACTTCCTCTGTGCACCTTTTCTTCCAGGTGTATCCCTGAAACCACTACATGCTTCCAAGTCTAGAGAACACAAACACACTTTCAGTAAGTTGTATGTTTATGTCTCAGCTTGTTTTACATTGTGCTGTAGGCGCTTTATGATGGTTTTCTTAATCTGATACAAAGAAATAAGTATGAGAGAAAGAAGGTAAGACTGCCATAACTAGACATTGGAGCAGTTAAATCTGATTCAAACTTTCCCTCCAAGTTTTCTGATAATATAACTAAGACATATTTATTACATGATTCAAATTGAAAGTAAGAATTTGTAAATTATTGTGGGATATCAAGTTTAAAATGGTGTTTATTGATCTTACAGATGATATAAAAAACATCATTCAGTACCAACCTGAAAATAGCCACTCATCATTTGGGAGTAGTAAGAGTTTCCAAATATAAAAATAGTTTTCAAGTTTTCAATTTTGCTTTTGTGGAATTGCTGAAATGGTATGCTGCCTAGCAGCATTTGGAGGTTTTTATTTATTTTAAAAACTGATTTAGCTACTTGTTAGAAAAAGCTAGCTTTGAATGAGGTTGAAGTTCACTGTAATTAAAATATTAGCTTAATTTAAATGTGTTTTCATAAAAAGTAAAACAAATAAAAAGCAGAAAGGATTTTAATATATATCCTGCAAAGTAAAAAACAAAAATTCACATATGTATTTAAATCCAGAGTAAGCTGTAGGAACTCTTCACTCATTTGTGCAAGTTTAATTAAAAATTTTTTTCCAATATTTCATTTTTCAAGTTGAAATAGGAAAATTGAATTTTATTAACGTCACTTTATACGTTTTTTTAAATATCAGCTTGTTTGAGAAAAATATCACAAATTATTTTCTCACTATCCTATCCATTATTAATCGTGTGTCTTTCTTATCTAATCTAGCATGTAATTTAGCTCAATGCTCATATTTATATGTACAGATTACACAGTGAATTCATAATTATTTGAGAAAATAATCTTATGTTGCCATATAGATTGTAAAGTAATCTGTATCTTTAGAATATGCAAATTAAACATGCAAAGAATAGTTCTCCTGAGCTGAAGCTTTAGTCATATCCTTCACAAGACTGAACGTGAGACATCCATGGATACAAATTCTGTTGTTAATGTATGGTTTTCAACACAGAACAGACTTACTTCCTAATCCTATGCCTTAAGTGAGTGATCCAGAAAACTTTACCCTGCTTGGTAGCTGAGAAATCAGTAGAGGAGACCCCAATATATCTTTCTGATAAGAAGAAATTCTACAGAAAGAGAATATGGGGGAACATGGTAGTTGGAAATCACTCAGCTTACTATTACAGGCACTGAGTTTATATTTTTGCTCAGTGTTAAAACGCTTAATTATTTTAATTGAATTAAAAAGCAGAGTGGCAATAACAGGGACAAACTGAAAGTGATATCTTCTACTTGTAGATTTATTCTAATGATACCTTCCACATTTAATCAAAATCAGAGTCATTAGAGGAAAGAATCTGCAGCAAAGTAATAAGGGATAGTCTATTGTAGTTTTGGAATTGCAAAAGTAATGCAGAATGAGTATTTTCATTTTGCTTTTAATCTATAATGCCATATACATTATAAATTGTGCTGCATTCATATAAGTTGTAAATCAAACATATGTGGAAGAATGTACTGTCAGTCTTTCTATTTAGTGATCCAGAACTGAGGAGACATGTGCTGTTTCAGGTGTTGGTGTCATTTGAAGATGTGGCTGTGGACATTACCCAGGAGGAGTGGCAAATCATGGACAATACTCAGAGGACCCTGTACAGGGATGTGATGCTTGAGACCTATAGCAATCTGCTGTCAGTGGGTGAGTGATAATCTGTCATGCCCAAGCAGAATACTTTCTTTATATTTTACAAATTAAAGAAAAATTTATAAAGTTTAATATCTAGTAGGACTAGTATTTGAGGCTTTAAAGAATCTTAATATCTACTCTTCAGATAATGATTCATATTAGCCATTTTGTGACTCAGATTCTAGATCCATCTTCTTTAAGCTTCAAGATAGTGATTTCACAAAATCACTATTATTTCCAATTAACAGGGTACTACATAAAAAAACCTGATGTGATCTTCAAGTTAGAACAAGAATCAGTACCATGGACTGTGCAAACATCTGTACCCCAACAACTTTCAGGTAGGGCAATACATACTGGAAAGGGAAGTTGATATGTATCTCAGAAAATCTTCATTGGAATTCATGCTGATTTTTTTTTAATGTTTCTTCCAAAATCAACTTATGTCATGCATGAGACAAAGGCACTCTACAGTCTCCATGCACAGTTCTATTCTAACAATGCCTTCAAATGTTAAAATTTATCAACCTGAAACCAAAAATGTAGAACCAAATATTGATCTTTTTCGTGATTCCTGCAAGACAAGACAAACTGGAACTGTTATGCGATGTAATACATTACAAGCATTAGTTTGAATTTCTCTGCCATATTTTCTATCCTACCCCACATCAACTTAAAATATAAAATCTGAAGTAATCGAAAATGGAAAAAGAAACCCTATTTATTGTATTGATGTATTCACTTAAAAAGTGTAATGATCATAAATGTGTGCAATTTTTGAATATTAAAATCTGTTATATGTAGATTGGCAAGAAATGTCATTGTCTTACTTGAGTGTTGAAAAGAGATACTTAGATGTGATTCACGTATATGGTTACTCTTTTTCCTCTTTTCAGATCCTTACAGAAAGAATGAGCTGCTTGGAACTAATCAGGAAAATCAAGAAACCACTTTCAGGCAAGTTGTAATCATAAAATTTGTATAACTTCAAAAAGAGTTGCATTGCCAAAGATGGTTAATTTAAGCTCTGGCCATAATTGAAACATGCTATGAAAAGCTATGAAAAAAAATTGTATGGAAAAGAATGTAGAAATATAATGTCTTTTTTTTTTTCTTGTTTATTTGTAGAGAAGTTTTATTTGCAGAGTTACCATGTGAATGTAGAAAGCAGGGGGAATGGAAAAGGACCACCTCAGAGAGCAAGAGATAGATGGGGTACCTGTTGAGTGGAGCAAGGGAGATGCACCATTTTTCAGAAGGGTCTTGCATTTTTAATTGTTCCATGACTCCTCCTTGTCTGAGCAGGAACTTGTGGGAAGACATTTCCCATTTGTTGTCTCTCAATCAATAGCTCCTACTGTGTAGTTTCAAATGTACCCCTCATGTTCTATGACTGTTGAGGTCTCAGATTTTGGAAGCCACATGGATGATAGAATTGAGACAGGAGTCAAAATAAAGAAACTGGTCTTAGTTCATCTCAGGGGTGTAGGGAAGGTCATCAGAGGTCCATATGAGTCAGTTCAAATGATCAAAACCAAGCAGAATACTTGCAGAGGTGCCATGAGTCAGTCTTTCTTCACTAAGGAAAAATCAACATGAAACATGAGAAAGGAGCTCGGCACTTGGGTACTATGCCAGGTGGTCGGCATTCAGAATCCACCTAGGGAGTTTCCCATCATGCAAAAAATTAGCCTCTGAGAGGGACTGTCAGTCCTCCACCAGGTTTCTTCCAAACATACACCCAGAGCCTTACTCCCAATGGGGAAATAGAGATGATAGTAAACAGCAATTCATCCCCCTTAAAAAAAACAACTTATTTGGAGTTTCAACCAGAGCTAAGTGGTGCACAGTGGATGGGGTGGAGGGATCAATATTTATGCAGAGCCGTGGGGTATCAAGATTCATTTTCAAGGTTCAGTCCCACTTGAGGGAAAGCATACCAACATGGTAAATTTTATGTTGAGTCAAGCCACATGACTGGTATAAGAAGCCTTTTTCATGCCCTGTATTGGACACCAGAGAAAATTTTGCCAGCAATCTCAGTGAGAACAGCAACTGGGACTCAGTTGCTTACAGAAGGTTTCCTTCTGAAGTGACCAGGTGAACTTAGAAAGAAGAGGGGAGGTGGAAAGTGTGCCCCAGGAAAGATGTCAAAGATGGGGTATCTTTTGAAAAGAGAGAGGAAAGGACACCATACTTTATTTCAAAATGTGTTTTTTTCCTAGGAAGCCTCATGAAATGTCACTTGAGAAAAAACATGCCTCTAATGCACCTGAGAACAAACCTCAATGTGGGGAAAATCTCAGTCAGCATGACAAGATGTACACTTGTAAGCAATCTTTTGAAAACAATGGGAAAGAAAAAACTTTCAGCACGAAGATGTTCCTTAAGTGTGAGAAAATTTGTATCGAAGACCCATTTAATGACCCTATCATTGTAGGAGAAACAATTCAGTTTGACAAGAAAATGTTCCATAGCAATCCTTTTTTTGTCAAGCAAACACACTCAGGAAAGGAACTCCATGAACCTATCAAGAGTGAGAAATGTCCTATTTATAAAAGAGATCTCAAAATAAATCAGATAATCCAAATAGCGAAAAGTCACTATATATGTGGCTACTGCAAACAGTCTTTTAGCTGTAACTCCAGCTTAACCACCAAGAAGGGCAGTGAAATTGGAGAAAATTTCTGTGTGTGCAATAAATGTAGCAAAACTATGTACCAAAAGTCAGAATTCACTAGAGACAAGATGCTTCCCACTGAGGAGAAACCGTATGAGTGTAATGAACTTGTAAGATCCTTTTGTGCTCAATCAGGTTTCCTTACACATCAGAGAATTCACACAGGGGAAAAACCTTACAATTGTAATGAATGTGAGAAATCTTTTTCTCAGAAGTCATACCTAATCATACATCAGAGAATTCACACAGGAGAAAAACCTTATAAATGTACTGAATGTGGAAAAGGTTTTTGTCGGAAGTCATACCTAATCATACATCAGAGAATCCACAGAGGGGGAAAACCTTATGAATGTACTGAGTGTGGAAAATCCTTTTGCCAGCAGTCCAGTCTCATTGTACATCAGAGAATTCACACAGGGGAAAAACCTTATAAATGTAGTGAATGTGGAAAAGCTTTTTGTCACAAGTCACACTTAATCAGACATCAGAGAATCCACACAGGAGAAAAACCTTATAAATGCAGTGAATGTGGAAAAGCTTTTTGTCAGAAGTCACAGCTAAGCATACACCAGAAAATCCACACAGGGGAAAAAGCTTATGAGTGTATTGAGTGTGGAAAAGGCTTTTACCAGCATTCAGATTTCATTAAGCATCAAACAATTCACACAGGGGAAAAACCTTATAAATGTACTGAGTGTGGAAAAGGTTTTTGTCGGAAGTCATACCTAATCAGACATCAGAGAATCCACACAGGGGAAAAACCTAATGAATGTAGTGAATGTGGAAAATGTTTTTATTTGAAGTCATACCTAATCACACATCAGAGAATTCACACGGGAGAAAAACCTTATAAATGTACTGAGTGTGGAAAAGGTTTTTATCGGAAGTCAAACCTAATTACGCATCACAGAATTCACACAGGAGTAAAACCTTATAAATGTACTGAGTGTGGAAAAGGTTTTTGTCGGAAGTCATACCTAATCATACATCAGAGAATCCACAGATGGGGAAAACCTTATGAATGTACTGAATGTGGAAAAGCCTATTGCCAGCAGTCCAGTCTCATTGTACATCAGAGAATTCACACAGGGCAAAAACTTTACACCTGTAGTGAATGTGGAAAAGATTTTTGTCACAAGTCACACTTAATCAGACATCAGAGAATCCACACAGGAGAAAAACCTTATAAATGCAGTGAATGTGGAAAAGCTTTCTGTCGGAAGTCACAGCTAAGCATACACCAGAAATTCCACACAGGGGAAAAAGCTTATGAATGTATTGAGTGTGGAAAAGGCTTTTACGAGCATTCAGATTTCATTAAGCATCAGACAATTCACACAGGGGAAAAACCTTATAAATGTACTGAGTGTGGAAAAGGTTTTTGTCGGAAGTCAAACCTAATCACACATCAGAGAATTCACACAGGAGAAAAACCTTATAAATGCACTGAGTGTAGAAAAGGATTTTGTCGAAAGGCACACCTAATCAGACATCAGAGAATTCACACTGGGGAAAAACCTTATAAATGTACTGAGTGTGGAAAATCCTTTTGCCAGCAGTACGGTCTCATTGTACATCAGAGGATTCACACAGGGGAAAAACCTTACAAATGTACTGAGTGTGGGAAAGCCTTTTGCCAGCAGTCCAGTCTCATTGTACATCAGAGGATTCACACAGGGGAAAAACCTTATAAATGTATTGAATGTGGAAAAGGTTTTTGTCAAAAGCCATCCCTAATTACACATCAGAGAATACACACAGGTGAAAAAGCTTGTTAATGTAGTGAATGTGGAAAAGTGTTTTGCCATAAAAAAGACCTAATCAATCATCATAGAGTTCACACAAGATAAAAACTTTTTCAGTATGACAAGTATGGAAAATCTTCTTGTTAGCAGGCAGTTATTGCATAAGCTAAGTCACATGCCTGAACAAATGTTGAAAAACTCATACACAAAAACATTGATTGCACTAGAAAGCAAAAACTGACATGAAGTTACAGCTCAGTAATATAGCCATAGTAAGCAATAAAAATATTGTATTGCCTAAAAACAATCATTTTTTTCTGAAGCCAATTCTCTGCAGATCCTATGAAGTTAAGAAAAAGGTGTGTAAACAGAAAAACTAGCTAGTATAAAGCTGCTCTCTCAATTAAAACTTATGAAGACCAAAACGAGCATTAGTAAGATTGCAGATAGGACACATTGTAAAATTGCACTAGGATGTGTGAAGGTCTCAACAATTGTCAAATAATAGACATGAAGTGTGTCATATTTCTGAATAAGGCTATGTGTTCCTAAAATATGTATGGAATCTACTTGATCTCATCTTGTTGTAAATAAGTTCTGCTTTCACATTTTAATTTTGAAAATAAATATTCTGTGTATAACACTTGTTTTGAATTCCATATAGCATTTATGCAGTTATCCAATATAGCTTTTTTTTACAGTGCTAATTCACCAATATTCTATGACAGATTAATATGGGACTCACAAATAACAACCAATTGCATGTGGCAATTGTAATGCTAATCACCCAGTTTTAAAAATGGATTTTTTTGTTCAGAGCGGGGAATGATTCATTTGTGACATGTGGCAAACTGGATCACTTTTGGCCCTTGTCTAATTATTGTATACTTTTAGAGGTATGTGCAAGAGGCATAAGAATTGTTTGGCATCAGATTTGGGATATGATAATGGCCACTGGAGTTTAAATATCAGCTGCCACAACTACTGTTATGTTTACGCTGATTTCCTGCACCAGGCTTCCCACAGCAAGTTTCTTGCCAATGGATGCCAATCTGTGCCTAATGTTTTTCAACTATGAGGATGAACATCAGATCCAGCCCTATCGGATAGTTGGGTAAGATTCCAGTTACCCTACTGTGGCAACCTAGGGCACCACTGGTTCATGTCCTAGCTGATTCAGTTTTGATCTATCGCCTAGCTTCTGGCTTCACACCAGCTCAACTACTTTTGTTGCAATCATTTGGGATTTGAATCAATGGAATAAAGATGCCTCTCTGCTTCTGTCTCTATTAAAATTCCATGTTCAGATGAATTAAAAAATGTTATTTTAAGCATGGGCATCATGACTGATGTTGAGGTAAGTGAAATATTTAGTATTAAGCTCATTGGCATGGTCCCATTTGTGACAGCCTTGACTACTTCTATTACTTACTATTTAGAGACATGTCACTATCAAGTTCCAAAATGAGCAGCATAAAATACAAGAGAGGCATCTTTTTCTGCAGAATGTATCATGTAACATATTATCAATGCCTTTAATTCCAGGATGAAGTTTGTGCACATCTAAGTTATTTCCATCAGCATTCTCATGTGAGCCCCTAGCTGTGATCCCACTGATATTGACACTGACTAGATCCTGGCCAAGGTCCTCCCTAGGAACACACCTCAGAGAGCCTACTTTGCAGTGAGATTTATTTAATGTTTTGCAGTTTCCCTTTTCAAACATTCCCAACCCCTCGGACAGCATTCTAATGTCCTTTGATTCTTGTCATTGCCTCCTAGAATGGTGGAATGGGGAAATGAAGGGATTTGTGAGGGTTGAGATGAAATAGTATTTATATAATCAGGTTCTAGATCCTGCTTTAGTAACCATGGGTTGGAACAAGTTTCAAATGTAATATATCCACTTTCCATATCTTTCCACCCCCTATATATGAGCAACAGAGATTTAACCTAAATCTCCCTATTTTGTCTTTTCTTCATGTGCAATTGGTGTTATCTAATTTTTTAAAACTGTTTTGTATGTCTTAAAACATTGTTAGTTTTGCACTTGAGTGTAACAACATTTAAGAACGTATTAAGTAAGGTAAAAGCTAAATTTTTTTTAAATTGGAAAGTCAGATATACATAGAGAAAGAGACTGAGAGAAAGATTTTCCATCTGCTGCTTCACTCCCCCAAGAGGCCAGCACATTTGGCCAGGACTGAGCCAATCCAAAGCCCAGAGCCCAGAGCTTCTTTTGGGTCTCTTGTGAAGGAGCAAAGTCCCAAAGCTTTGGGCCATCTGTGTCTGCTTTTCAGGAACACAAGCAGGGAGCTGGGTAGGGATGTGGAGCGTGAGGGATACTAACTGGTACACATATGGGATCCCAATGTGAAAGATGAGAAGTTTAGCCACTTGACTACTGTGCAGGGACCATAAGATAAAAATATTTCCCTGTTTTTTCACTTAATTTCTCCAAACATCTAAAAATATAAATAATTACAGATAAAACTCAATATATTTATCTTTTCATCTTAATTTAGATATGTTGAGTTATTTTTAATTTTTTATCTGAAAGATAGATTGACAGTAGGGGCAGAGAGATTCTCCATTCATCAGTTCACTCTCCAACTGGCTGCCAAGGTCATAGTGAATTCAATTAGAAAACAAGGGTCCCCATCCAGCTCTCCCATGTATGTGCAGTGGCCTAAAAATTACAGCCATCTGCTTCATTCCCAGGTGATAAGTAGGGAGGTAAACATGAAATGTAGAAGCTTGAATTCCAGTTGTCATAAGATGCTGGCACTGCAGGCAGAGGATTAGCTAGACCATCACTGCCAGTCCTAGTTTTTTAAAATGTAAAATTAAAAATCCAAAAAGAGTGGAGAGAGATGTAAATGATGCCACATGCATGAGGATGTCATGAATATTCAAGACAGGTATGAGAGATGTGTTTTGTCTGTATTGTAACAGGTAGTAATTTGATAAAGGAGACACACCATAGGGCAAATAAAATAGAATCAGTATAGAACAAATAACTGAAGGAATATTAGAGTGCTTTTTCAAGGTTTATGGAAGATGAATCCTACAAGGAATTAGATTTTCTGAGATTAGAAAAAGAACATTCTTGATATTATCTAAAAATCAAGCATAAACACCAAAGGCACACTCCAAGAAGCTAGAAGATACCATAAATTTAAACAAGTTTTATGTTAATAGTTTAGAAAAACTTTTGATTGCTTTCAGAATCTTTTCTATAGATGTGTTTTTTTTTAATATTCTTTTTTTATTACTATTATATTTTGACAATCTTTACATAGTTAATTAGGGTAAAAATGTTCAAGGGCTACAGGAAACTGGGTAAGATTATTATTTTTTCCATATTGTTTCCTTCATGTTTAAAGGGGGGTATTAAGGGAGAAGGCCCACCCAATTTCCCACCCTCAGCAGGTCCCGGATGTAGGGTATGCTCTGAGGTTCTTGCTCAAGTGGTTTTGATATTTCAACAGTTATGAATCACTGCCAATCTTGCCACTCCAAGCATGATGAGGTCTTTGAAGAATCCACTGGTTGACATAGTCCATCATAGAGTCTCTGTTTGCCCCGTATTTCGCTGCCAACTTATAGCTGAGATGGTTGATTGACCTGTTCTGTCTTCTCTCTTTTCTTGGTTCGGGTTCTGAGTCCAGCATTTTGATTGGGGAGATCTCCAAAGAAAGTTTGTCTGAGGTGTTCTCAAACCAGATTCTTGTATGTGCTAGCAAGTACAGGGCCCGGCACAGTCCATATTTTCCTTTTAAATTCTTTACACCCCTTTTCCGAGGCATTTTTATTTGTGTTGTGTTGAATTTAATTACACCTGTTCAACATGTAATCAATTGTTACCTAGTTCTTTACCTCTATTTTCTTCTAATATATTTAAATTCTCCCAAGTAAAGAGAAGGTGTCATGCGTTAACGAATTTATACACGGATTTTCTTAGGTTTTCCAACTGTCTTGCTAAACAATAAATTTGTGCATCTTTGGTTATGTCTCAAGTATTTTCTTCTATATTGAGTTTTATTTGCTTAGGGAAAGCTGAACTCTAAAAGAGTTAAAAACATCCAATTATTTTACTTTAAATCTGTGATTAAACTGATCCATAGGATAAGCAATTTAAATGAAATAAATTGATATGGATATTTTGTTGAAAAGTAGCCCAAATGAAGGTAACATAGCCATGATTATGCTAGAAACTATTTTTAATTTCAATATGCTAATATGTACTAAATGTTTAGTGCGCACTCCTATAAGTACTCAGATATATAACTAAAATATGCTTTAGAACATGGCTAATTTTGTTTGTTTTTTTTCTGCCAAGTTTATTTAAAATTTGATGAAATCACAGAAATAACATTCAAGGTTTGAGTAGGCAGAGAGGAAAATGCACAAGAAAGTTGTCTTGGTTCCTTCCGGCGCGAACCATGCCGGATTCCCAGCCACAGCCTCCGCCGCTTGGCGGAGGCAGGGACGCCGGCATCCCCCTAGCCAGGGGGCAACTAAGCCCCCTCGCGAGTAAGTACCCGCGAGGGCTGGCGAGGGAGCTGGGGTTCAAAACCTGGCTCCCCTCTACCCCCGTCAGCTTTGGGCTGACGGCAGGGTAGGCTGGGCGGTTCGAATGTCCGGGCAGGGGCGGGGTTAAACTCCCATTGGGGGTGGCGCCCCATGGGAGCCGTTCCTTCCGGCGCGAACCATGCCGGATTCCCAGCCACAGCCTCCGCCGCTTGGCGGAGGCAGGGACGCCGGCATCCCCCTAGCCAGGGGGCAACTAAGCCCCCTCGCGAGTAAGTACCCGCGAGGGCTGGCGAGGGAGCTGGGGTTCAAAACCTGGCTCCCCTCTACCCCCGTCAGCTTTGGGCTGACGGCAGGGTAGGCTGGGCGGTTCGAATGTCCGGGCAGGGGCGGGGTTAAACTCCCATTGGGGGTGGCGCCCCATGGGAGCCGTTCCTTCCGGCGCGAACCATGCCGGATTCCCAGCCACAGCCTCCGCCGCTT